CGCAACGATAACGCCCAGCAGTAATGTAGGTCGCGATCGACGAGCAACCGCGACTCCGTAGCCGTGAAAATATCGCCTATGTACATTATTTGGTTCACTTTCCGTTTCTTCCGACAGTTAGCCGCGCGCTAGTTTTACATCCGTTCGTTCATTAATTCAGAGCTCGTCCGCGACGTCTTTTATCGTCGTTTGCTGCCGTCGAGGTTAACGATTCCGCGTAAGAAGCTCGCTCTCCCTCTAATAGCTTGTATCGGCATTCCAGCGATTCAAAAAATGTGCCAAACCGCTTCCCTTGCTTCTTGGCTTTTGCATTCCCGGTTTTTTCGTACCGTCGCCCCGATATATATTTGCTCCGTGGCGATTTTCTTTTCGGGCCCGGTTCACGGTATTCACTAATTAATATAATCGCGCGAGCGGCTCGCCGATCTTCTTGCGGACCTCCTTTAATGGAAAATGCACTCGATCCGGGGCGGAGGGATATCGTTTTCGAGTATTTTCGAGAACGTGCCTGCAACAGTGCGTCTCGCGAGTAGTCAGGAACTGGACTTTGACTTTGATGAACCTTTATTAACGCTAGAACTAGATAGAGGAAATGTATAACGCATTCGTTCTCCTATAGAGAAGCACATTTTTTATAATTTTTATTTGAAATTAGATCGAATAATTTGATCATTCCCCGAGGGTTGCTGAGATCGATGCAGGCAATAACTTCTGATAGAACGATCGAAGTATAAAACAATGAGTTTGAGCGAAGTGGAACGGAAGTCGCCGCGTTTTCCGGGTGATCGAGGGGATCGAAAACGCGAGGTTAACGCGTAGGATCGTACCCGGGGGACACGCGTATCGCGGCGGCGCCAATTTCGAGCGCTTTGTGCCGCGCGCTACTAAAAATGCGTGGCGAATCGACCGCGCGGATCGTCCTGACGAGGCAGCTTCGAGAGATCGTCCGGCCATCGGGTCCGCTCAAAGCATTCCCCGGGTCTCTTGACAGCCGTGTTTTCAGAAACAATTCGCCCCTCTAGATTTTTCGCGACCGAGCAAAACTCCCTACGATTGACTTCTTCTCATCAGCGTACCGATCGCGCGCGTTTCCCCATGCGTATTCATGGCAAAACGGCCACGCGTGTATTAATTGACAAATAACTTTTTGCCCCCGTTCTGGCCCCGTATACGGTTCGCATTGTCCGCGATTATGTACGTCCCTGGCATCGGGGGACTTTTCTTTTCCTTTCTTATGTCGATTTTTTTTCTACAGTCCTCGCGGCAATGAAATGCTGTTTTCCGAAAATGGCGCTGGAATGAGGACGGGTCTCCGGTAGCGGCGCGCACGCCGTCCTATCATTTAATTTGGTATCGGGTATACTTTACTTCTGCCCCCCCCGTTTCAAACCCTCCGCTAAGCCTTCTTTTTCTTAACTCCCCCCCACCACGACCAATGCCCTCCCCGTGAACCCCGCGAGCCGTTTTTATCGGACGAACCGATCCGCTCCGGATCCATTTTTACGACACTCTTCGCGCCGGAGTCGCTTCGATTCTCGCGGCTGATTTTTCTGCGGAGAAACGACGATTTCCGGCTCGCCAGGGGTTGGGGACGTCGATCATCCACCGAGCACCCCCCCTTTCGGGGAACTCGAGTTTCTTTTTTCATTGGAGACTGGTGTAAAATGGTGAAACGAGAAGTGATATTTAAACTGGACGTTAGTCCATTAACAGACGATTAATTTTCATCAAAGTTCAAACTGATCGTCCTCCAGCTTACGTGTCAATTTGCTTGTCGTTCGAGCCCATGCTTGATTATCGATCAATAATGTAATTAGACTGTATATATTAAGTACCTAATAGCAGTATTTTGCAATCATTTTATCTCGTACCGCAAAAAAGTTAATTATGTCTTTGGCACAGCGAACCTGTTATTAATCGTTTGCGTTAATAGATTCAGCATAGCTTGTTCGGTGCATTTCATTTCTACATTCCAGAATTTTTGTTGATATAACTCGACGATAATAAACAATTATAAAAGCGGTCGCTAACGCGCTCGTCCATTTGCAATTATGAGTAATGGTCCAACGTCCTATCGTGTCGTACATTATACAAAAACGGGCCACGTAGCTCGCTTACAAAAGTCGACATGGTATGAATCATATTTGATTAGCATCTCGACTTCTTTCGTCTCCGTACTCTCTTTTTTCTAATTGTGTAATGAATGAAAATTGTGGTTCTCGCGAGCATGGTTTCCGCGGGGATGAAACATACTTTGACTCCTAACGTCAGAAAGTAACGGAGGTGTTTACGAGTTAACGAGTCAACGAATTTTACGAAAAATTTTGTACACTGTGGGTCGAAGCAACTAACAAATTGCAAAGTGTTTTCGAGTTTTTATATTAGAATTTGCAGTCAACTAAAAACCGATCTGTTAGAAATATTTTTACGTAAAGTAAAAAGTTATGTGCCACACCTAGTGTATCTATGTGTGTGTGCATAGTAAAGACGTTTAGCGATTAGAGTGGTAATAATAACTTTTGTTGGACGATGTTTATCATCGACGAGGGTCAGAATTGACAGGAAGGTGTGATTAATGTTCGATCAGAAATGGGAGCGATGGAAAATGAATAAACGAATCCCGCTCGTTAGGCACTTATGCCACAAGCACGTCGGTGGCAATGAGCATCATCGTGTTGTAATCGCACAGTATAGGAAACGTCTTCGTAAAAGGAAGCCAAAGCGGTTAGGTCTCAACTGCTCTTTAGATGCCTGCTAACCGGACTAGTTACCGATTAAGGCGTTACAAAATCTAGTGTAACCAGGCTACGCTTCACTTTTTCTTTCGTAGGAAAAGTATCGGTCGTTTGCTAATGGGATTTATTCGCGGTTCTTTATTGGTCCCATGAAAGATTTCCAGACTAATAAAAGTAAGTGTGATCAACGATTAAGAAATTTCTAAGTCGTAACTGGTCAGTTCGTGCCGTTAAAAAATAAAGAAATATTGCTTTAAATATCACTGAATTCGTTTAGTAAGGAATCTTTTATCGCGAAGCCAGAAACGATAAAAGTATCTCGCCTGGTGGTGCAGTTTGTATAAATTTGCCAATGCCAATATGCTGTAAGAATATAATCCAATTCGATTTTAATCGATGATCACCCTTCGACGTCGAGTGGGAGTTTCGGGTTGAAAGAGGGACAACGCCATAGACACAGATACACAATCCACCATCGAGATAGGTCGTTTTATTACCATCGTGGCCCTTCTGATCTCAGGCAAATGAAGACGGAGTGCCGACTTTTTGCGTTCCGTGATCAAAAGACCATGATCGCGAGCGTTTCACGCGGAAACTTTTTCCTTCCGTTATGCTCCCAGCAACGTATCTGAATATTTCGTGCATAAGGTTGGATAATACTGAAAGTTTTCAGTTAATAATTGTTAGCAATTTCCAATTCAATGTTCACATTATTTTTGGTACACATAAAATACAGATTCTTTCGAGATGCAGAATAAATGATAGTTACGAGTTTAATTTGTCAAATATTAGGTATCGTATCATTAATTCATAAAGGCACTCTTCCTTGAGCACCCTTATAGTTCGCGTTTAAAGTGCGAGTGGAGTGGTCTTAACCCCTCTCGTAAAAATAAATAGCGTCGAACTCTTTCTTGACTGCTTACGACACATTTTCCCTGTATTCAACGTGACATAAAAAGAATTATTGCTCGAAGTATACTTCAATGTCCCTGTTATACTTGAACTTTTTAACCCTTTTCTTTACCACTGGAGCTAGATGCAAAGTTATTTACACATTTTATAACAGTCACACCCTTTTTATTTGTCTTCACTCTCAAACATTAATATAGAATATTCCTGCTGTATATAGATCCATGATCAATCGGTTGCTCAAACCTCGTATCCCTAAAACGACTTTCTTTTCTTCAACGTCCCGAAGACTATCTCTAAGTTACGAATCAATTACTCTATCTATGGGTACACGGAAATCTCAACTTTCAGTTCAACTTTCATAGTTACAAAGTAGTTGCAACCTCGACAATTACCTTTCTACCTGGGACAATTTATTAATTAAAAAAGTAGCTTCACCGATACTCGTATAAACAGCCAAATTATTCAAAATATTGGAATAAAATTGGAATCGCGAAGAATAGCCAGTAGCCAGTGACCCAGTGTTCCACCCCGAGAGCAACCCTCTTTTCTCGAAAACCACGAGAGCTGCGTTACTCACAATTAAGAACGCGTGATCTCCGTAGCCCGTGAAACCGGTGCTCGAGGGGTTCGACCGCCCCTAGGAAGCGTGCCGCGCGAAACTCGGCTCCGAGGGGCGCGCGCATCGAGCATCGTCGCCTGGTGGGGATGATATTTGACGGGGGTGGCTAGGTCGAGCATGAGGACGACACGCGCCTTCACTCGATGACATTTATGCACACGCCCTCAGACCGCGTGCGTGTTGCGCCTGTCAAAAGTCGCGAGCTCACTCGCCTCCTCCTCTTCCTCCCTTTCTGACCTTCTTCATCCGTCGCGGGGGCTGTGCCTCTCTCGAAACAACCGTGCTCGAACCGAGTCGTTCCTCGACCACGTGCCCATGGACGCTCCACGACTTCCTCGAACCGAGAAATTTAACCACAAATGTCGAGTCGACGTTTAAAAGAATTTCTGTTGCATTTTTGGTGACCGTGAACCCGTGATCCGTGTTTCAAACAGACAGTGCGAAGTTTGGGGGTTTTTTTTTTTCATCTTGGAAAATCTATTTAGATTGTGAATTCGGGGGGTTATTCGGTCGATTCGTGGCGATGTTCGTGACTAGATGAAACGGGGTTTTCGAAGGCTCTGAGGAGCATGAACGAGGAACTTGATAGTCGGGACTGAGAAATAAAGTGTGATGGACGCGCAAATGTACAGCAGAATGTGGCAATCGCCAAATTTATACAGCACGTATAAATATCCCGCTATTATGCAGCTGCCGGGGAACAATAACGAATTTCATTCGTGGTTTCATTCTAGGAAACCGTCCATGGACGACGTTGGGAATCCTACCTCCGTCAACGCACGGTGAGTACGTTCACGATGTTGAGTTACTTTGGTATCGCTTAAGTCGTTTCGCGGCCTCTGTTCCGGCGGTGTTTCGAATCAAACGAGTCCTCGAGCGTCTTGGTATTTTATTTACACGTTGCATCGTATATTTCAATAGTTTGAAAAAGACTTGGTGTCAACCCCTTTCTTGGATCCTCGAAAGGATAATAAAACCACCTTTCTGTCGCGTTAGTGCAATTCTTTTTTCTCCCGAAAGTCAGTGTTTTATTCGAAACAGTGCCGGATAGTTTCTACTTTTAAACACATTTAAAATACACGAGAGACATTATTTTCTACTTCCATACGAACGATCAAGTTGTCAAACTACTCGAACTGTTAAATGTGTTGGTAAAAGTCTTTCTTTGATATAATTTTGAATGTTGGTTGGTATTGGTAGCAAAGTTTACAAAAATAATGAAACTTTACAAGGTATCTAGTATCATTTGCTTTCAATACCAATCGAAGTCTTTTCAAACTCTTACTTCAACAAATGTTTGAAATACTTGGTTCAGTAAATAATTTCGTACCCCTCGACCCTCCAACATTACACCCATGTAACATACAAATATATATTCCACGGTGGAATTGCTGGGCGATAAAGGCGATAACGACGCGTCGATTAGACGATCGTCGACGATGCAAATTTGATTAGCGACGATCGAACGCGATTCCATCAACGACCCCGTAAAATAATCTCTGAAACAATCGGATAGGTCGTCGGGGGTATCGATATCGGGTGCTATCGCGGCGGAAAAACCGGCAGCAGGTCCAGGTGAAATAATCCTGGCCTTATCCGCGATCATCTACCCCTCGTTCGGCGTCCAGGAGAGCCTATCCGCCGCCGTAACAATTGAACCCGTAATAGAATCACATTTATTCTTATTACCCGACGAGGTCAACCGACGAGAGGCTCGAACCTTCGCCGTGGCACGATCCGACTTCAGATCAGCTTTCCTAAGCCATTTCACGGAGCTGCGTTATTTCTCCCTGGGCTCTGCGCACACACGGGGCCCTCGCACTCTTTGTTTAGTCCTGCGGTCTCCTCTTTCCTGGCGCGAACTCGTTCCTTCTCGCAGCAATTAAGGACGATCGGAGACCCTTCGAAGTGTCCATCCACATCCCGCCGCTCGAAAACGTCCGACTTCGCGAAGATTCATCCGTTTCGGTGAGAGACTTTACCACGTACACCAGCACCCGCTTAACTGTCACGAGATTATCCCCCTGGGTCTGAAACTGCTTCATTTTGCATCCCATAGAAGCGTAATATTATTTTCATATTTAGTTTGGTGATTTACATTATACCCGGTTAACTGTCGCAAAGTTATTCCTCCCTATTTTAGTTGATTTACTATATTAGAAATATAGGTCACCTTATCATTGTTGCTTGATTCGAGAAAGAGGCTACGAAGAATAGAGAATAGGTCGTGTTTAAGTAGAAAAGGGCAGTCGAGAGTGTGGGTCTATGCTAATTTTGTAAGTTAAACGCATGTGGGGTAGATTAGGCCTAGGGGTGATATTTGTAGGGGTTATCGTGTAATTTAAATTAATGAGAAAATGAAATGCGAAGATCTCATTATGTCTGGCTGAATCGTATCTCATCGTGTACGAGAGAATTCCCTTTTTATCAAAATTTTTAATATTCATATTCGTGTCGGGTTCGTTTTAAGAGAAAATTAAACTCTTTTCTCGTTTAAATTATCAGTGTTCGGTGTCAAATTGAATTACAAAATTATTGCGTACAGTTATTTGCATTTTATTCTTGTACAGACATGGGAAGAATTTCTATTCTTCGACTATCGATAAAATATAAAATAGAAAACTGTGTTATTCAAGTAGATAATTCTTCTTCTTGGTATTTGAAATTTTAATTAGACTCTGTTTCATGGTTGGGATATGGGGTTAGTATGGTATGAGAGTATGTGCATACAGGCGTGATATAGCGGGATCGTAAAGAGTATATTTCGGTAAAAACTAAACAACAATCGTGCGCGACTAGCAAAGAATTATGTGCCGTCGGTTTTGTTTAATTAATACAACCCGTGACTCATGCACCTATGCCACGGTGCTCAACAAAGCATCTGCCACACTGTATCTTATTCTCCATCTCGCCACGTTCTTCAGGACTGAACCTACAAGACTATCAAAACCTTTGCTCGCGTTATGAAGATGCCGCCTTGAAGATATATTTAAAATTTCTGCGGAAAGTCCTAACCCATTCTGAAGTTGACAATAATTCATCAGCCTGTATTGTTGTATAGTCCCAGCCAGAAGGGCAACGCGGTTCCTCTTATCTCTGGAATAATTTCGTAAAAATCTCCAAGGTCTGCTTTTTGGTTCAACGCGATACCAAGATGTCCAAAATTATTAGAATAATCTTTCCAAGTGAAACAATTCTCTAGAAAATAATAATCGAAATTTGGATGTCTGCCTTGGAGGGTCTTCTTCTACTTCTTCGTTTCATTTTACCAGTGAAATTTCTATATCTTGATATCGTGTTACTTGCTACGTGAATATCGTTTAATTTCTAAATAGAAAAAGTGATAAAGATAGGCTGGCTATTGAACTATAACGACGAGTGTACGCGTTGCAGGGACGTTGCCCTTGTAGAGTATTATGTCGCTGGATAACGAAGTTGTACTTGCTTTGCCAGACACTGTCGCGCGATGACACAATTACAAATTAATGCAATAGAACCGAGTTGAGGCAGGTGAGTTATGTCGCGATGAAAAACGAACATTCTAGTCAGGTATACTGGCTTACTATGCTGTCAGGTGTTTAAAGACTCTGCTGTCCGATGTGATTAAAATGTTATCTCTCGGAAATACGAACGTAACTAACGAAGAACCTCGCCTAATCAACAGTCTCTAAAATTAATACATATAAAACATAGATTGAGTATGGAAGAAAATTTGATTTTTGATGAGCAATTAAAATTATACCAATAGACTTATCGCTTTTAAATAAGTTACTGATGAGTTCAGTCGTATTGGGAGTCCAATAACTTAGGAAGGAAGGTTTCTCAAACCATAGTATTTTTTTACTTGAAGAGGCTACGTTTCTATGAATGAAGCTGTAGAAAATTGTGGAGAGCTTTGGAAGAATATCAGGGCCCGAATCGAAGCGAAACAGTAGTCGAAGGAGTACCAGTTGGCTCGGTTTTAGCGATCGGTCTGATTCCGGTCCGAATTAAAATATCCCGACGAAGTGATTGGACGTTTCCCACGTAGCGGCGGCGAAGGTGTCCGTGGCAGGTACTGGTTTAACTGTTAAACTGCGGAGGTACGTGTAACGCGCCGTAACGACGAGCAACCGTGAAGGTGCGATGATAAAGGAAAGGTACCTACGTGGGCGTCAACGGGTGGCGACCTCGGAGGCGTAACCAATGCTCCAGGCGACAACCTTATCGAATGGCAAGTATGCCTCTGCTTGTGCTGCCAACCTAACAAGCGGCCGGTTTCGTTTCTTCGCGGGCGTGGAAATACGGCAATTTGGGTCAGAAACGTATTACGCCCGAAGAGTGCACGCAATTCACGCTTCTACGACCTCCAAACACTCGGGACTCCATCGTGATATCGTTAAATTAGGCCAGACATGCTGATCGGTGCACCCAAACTCTCTGGTCAGCTCTAAATTTCAGTAAATACGCTTCAGCTTCCTGAAAACGTTTTATCGCTTTACTTTCGTCAATATGGATCGTTGATGGGTTGTGATCGGTTGGGTCGTTGAAATGGCTGTGAAAAACATATTTAAAGAAACGGAAGTTGACCTTCATATTAAGAAAATGAAAAATGGCGTTCGTGTTCACCGGTGATTGACGCGTAGATTTTTATTTGTGGAGGAAAGCTGAAACGAGTGTATACTGAAAGTCAGAGAAACTATGAGAGATCGTAGTACAGGGAAGATCGCTCTCCTATAGATCCGAATCGAAATAAGTTTGAAACTGTCTATACATTGAATAAACTCTTATTCAAAGTAGTCATCGAATCTACCAATCGAGGCAAATAAAAAGTCATCCGTTTTTATCAAAATAAAATTTCCCTCGATTCTTATGATCGCTCGCGAAAGGAGGAACGCGAGTTGGCACGTTACCATTTAATTTCCTTCCCGAAATCGACTTTTCCCCGGCGTACGGGGTGAAAAAAATAGAAGTTCGTTGGGTAGAAGCCATCGGAGGCGGTTTCGGCGATGGAAGAGAACGGCTCACCTGACTCGCGACCGTTACGGGGGACTCCGTTCGGTGCCACTATTAATATTAATGCATTCCGCCGTTCTTGCGGCATTGTACTCGCGTCGACGGTCGCGGCCACATCCAAACGTCCAACAATATCCACACGGCGACGTCCCGGGTACCCGTAGCCCGAGCGTGGTTGGCGCGCGTTTCAGTAAAGTGGCACTCCGCTGCCGCCGGAGCGCGTACCTATGTCCCCTGATTGTCCCGACGGTTTTGTCCCGGTCGGCTGAATATTCAACCGGGCCGATAAATAACGCTGAAAGGAAGAGAAACGAGCGAAACAATGACGAGGAAGATTTTTCCCCGGTTCGTTCAAGTCTCAACTGGCCTGCCATCGGCTACTCTCGACTTTTCTTATGCCAAGAACACCTCTTCTCGTCCAGCCCTGTTCCGAGTGGCGGCCTCCTCTATTGTCGCGCGATTTCCTCCCAGTCTTATGAAACCTCGACAATGCGAGTTTCTACGCTCTCGCCTACCGTAACCAATCCCGCGTTACGCTCCACGCCGGTGATCTATACCAGAACATTCTTCTCTCTTAAGTACTGTAGCTCGTGTGCTCTGCGCGGACCGACTTCTTCGCGTCTTTCTTCGCCCAGGTTTCTTCCAACCATTTTTCTCCCCCGATAGTATCTTCGTGTTATTCTATCGATAATTAGTCGCATTAGTCGAAACACGTGTACGCCACTGATCGGTTCATAGATCCGCTCCGCGACGAGGAAGTCTGGATCCGTCACGGTTAACGATCATGGACCAAAAACGCGTTGCACAATTTCGTTGATCGGGGGTAGTATTCACCAACGAGCAATGGACATTTAGAATAATGGTATAGGAATCTCCACCGTAGAGTGTTCGCTAGAAAAAATTGTTTCGAAATGTGGGCCAAAATGGCGGAAGATTTAGGAGAGCTACCAACGGAGCGAATCGCGTAGCCACGGGGCGCCGTGGCTTCCCCCCTACAAATCTTTTTCCCTTGATCGACCAATATAAAGAAAGGATTATGCGAATATTCGGCTACGATATCTATCATCGTGAATTATCACACTGTACGGTTAGGACACTCGCGGAGACTTATTATCCGACATGATTTAAGAGCTAAAAAGTTCCTGCGCCGGGGTACGGTGGAATACGCGTCCACTCGCGGGCTCCGCATATTTTTCTGGCATTATACGTCCCCGCAAGAGTATCAATTAAATGATAATGTAGTGATTAATAGGAATGATGCGGGTCGCTGATCGTTCGCGGCAAAAAACGCACGCCGTGGCTCGAAAATAACGCTGCGGGGGACAGGCCGCCTTTCGAGAGGAAATCAGCCAATAGTTTTCGATATTAAGCGATCATACTTATTTAATGGAAATTATTAATACTTAATTAGTCGGTCAATGGCGCCGTCCACGTTCGAACAGATTCATCAGGGTTTCTCATACGTAAACAAACTTGAGACATCATTTTTAAAATTCATAAAATTATCCATATTTCTTGTTTTCCAACGAACATGATACTGCAGGGAAAAAACGTAGGAAATTGCATGTTTTTTAATAGAAAGAAGGGCAATATTTTCCTTTTCAATTTCGAGCAATTTCAATCTCCCTTTGAGACTATTTTACATTACATCCTATCTACTAATTAGCAAGATACTGTAGCATGTTAGAGAGATATTTTGCAGCTTTTTAGCACATAAAAATATTAAAAAATATAGTTATCACAGTTAACCCCTTAACGCTCATGCTCGAATCTGACTGTTTTGAACAATGATATTTATTTACTCTAACGATTTAAGGGATGACAGTATTTGTTTTCCTTCAAATTATACATTAAATACAACATTGTAATTAACAAAAATTAAATTTGTATATAGCTTAGAAACAAGTTCAATAAAGAAAACTGATCATTCTTGGTCAACCCGAAAAATATGACCGTTAAGGGGTTAAATGTAGTTCTCCTTAATAACAATAAGAAAAAGAATTGATCTACTCGGTTTTTCACCACTAGAATTTTAACTGTGATAGGAATAATTAATATCCTCCTACTCTCTCGCCAATAAATGATTCGTATAAAGTTCGTGATGCAGTTGTGCTCTGTATCACAGATATTATTCAGAATCAAGGGGTTTAAAGGCGTCTATGAGCATATGTTCGCGATTAACGAGATCAAAGATGGAGCCGTGGTTACCAAGATCTCGGATTAGCGAGATCGAGCGAGTGTTCTGGGGAACCAATCGAGCGTCGACGGGGGCGAAGGGCATCCGTGTTTTAAGCAGTCCGGCGACGTCTCGCAGATTATAAGAACGTGCGTCCGGCGAATGCACGTGGCGCAGCCGAATTTCTGCACGCGGTTCGAGCGGAATTCCTAATAAGTCAGTGACTAGACAGAAGTCTCGCGCTCGGTATCGGCGACGGTGGTTTGCTCGCGGCAGAGATAGAGTGACGTCACGGATACGTGGGATTCCTCTCGAGCAGCTGGATCACGTGCTGCGGCCGAACGTGAGGCTAACTTAAATGCGGATCAGGGAGAAACCGTTCCAAAACCGATCTGAAATGAATGCACCGGCCGCGATTCGAATTGTTTTCACGTTCTTCCAGTCGCGGTATCGACCCTCGCCTTCAACCGACCGGGCCCCTTTCGAGGTCAATACCTCTGCAGACGATAGGTCGAAGGACGATCGTCCATTAAGTCCTCTTTCACTCGTTTTAATCGTCCCTGATTAGATACAGAAGCAAGACGAAACGTTGTTTACGAGAATTACATTTGATCCTCGAATACAATGTTTTTTTGATAATTCGAGTTGCAATCTTGAGTGCATTTACCCCTGTTTTGCCTCGTGTCTCATCGTACACAAGATTTATGAGAGATGCGATCTTAAATATTTAAATTACTGTTTTTCCCAGCGTTGAAAGTCCTACCAAACGGGACGAGAACTTGCGCAGATAAACTCCCAAGGAGCATTAGTCCTCCGGAGACTCATAGTTTCCCCAACAAGTTTTTGAGCATCAACGAGTTTATCCGTAGGATCTACGATAGAATTCACAATAAACAGGAAAGACCACGGGGTTAAGAACCACGAATGTCGCGAGTCGCGTTGAATGTAAAATGGACAACGCCGAGTTACGTTTTCGAGAAAATCCAGTTTCAGGAAGTCGGGGGCTCCGTTCCAAGTTCTGGTTGCGTCAGTATTTACGGGGCGAGCGTTCGAGCGCATATATCACAGCGTCGAACGCGATTTATCGCCGCGCGTGCCGAGTGAAAAATGATTTTTCGAGCCACGTGGAAAATTCCTCGAGCCGTGGAAACTCCCGGGCTCGTCCACGCGGCTTCCGACGCGGAAAAAAGGAAGCGCCTGGAACTCCTCCGTTGGGAACGGCGACGACCTCGACTGCTGGCAGTCAATTGCCATTACGGGAAATTAAATCAGTCGTGCTTCTATTTACGCGGACCCTAATGCCAGTGTAAATTGACCGACTATCGAGATCCAGCCAGACCAACGCTCACGAAAGTAAATTATAATTGGTACGTGTCGTGAAAAACTACTTTTCGACGAGTCTAGATAGATTTTATTTAATATAGAAACGAATATTTCATTCTCATCGTTAATCTAACGACAATTATGGTGAATTTTCAAAGATCCAGTCGAGTAAATTCTTTACAATTTTTATTAGAAATTAGGAATGGGTCACTTTGGTAGCTCTAGTGTTGAAAGCAATATATAGATAGCATTTACGAGGATGTAAATGGATGCAATACTCTGAATAATGTTTTACTGCCCATTCCCCATAATACAACGTTTTCCTCTTACGTTTAAGTTCGATTATAAGTTAAGGATTAGGTGGTAGTAGGTTATAAAGCGTCCTTATTCGGTGAACCTCGCCCTTTCACCGTGCCCGCATAAAACGCAATATCTCCTTCGCTTATGTTCGGTTTTTTTGCACGGATCGGTACGTTATATAGAGTGGTTAAATAAAATAAAATAAATAAATATATCCGGCCCGCGGTCAGCAGAAAATCACATCGTTCGACGTGCGGGAATTTTTTGTCGCTCGAAGACGCGGACAGCCCGATGCCGAAATAGGAAAAGTACACGGGGACAGCGAAGGGTGAAACTCGCGGAAAGAAACGCAGTAATTACGTGTTCGGCCTAATACGTCCCGGGCAGTGAAATGCCGCACGAGGCCGGGATACTGCGGCCACAAAATTTCTTCACGCAAAACCCAGGGAGCAACAATGGGTATTTTCATTAGTCGACGTGGTCCGGCCTGAACGGTAGATATTTGATTCGGTTTTTATCGGATCGGCCGACATTCCGGTGCCGCGGGGCCCGCTCCGCTCTCGATGGGGATCGGAAAAACGGCCGCAAAGCTGACTTCTCGATCGCGATATCAGAAGAAGTTCCATTTAGGAGAAAAATAGCATTGTAAATGCACCGTGTCGCGGTGCTTGTTTGTCGTGAAACTGAGTTTCGTCCGGCAAAAAGTTGCACGACGCCGGACGGGTACACTTGCTTTCGGCTACGGGAGCCGCGAGGAACGACCCCCGGATTTGTAGAATTTGCAAATTTACGAGACCGAGAAACCTTCCGAACCCATATTGTTTACCATCCCCCCACCAGAAAAACGTTTTGGTTCGTTCGAGTGTCTTATTTCTCGAGAACTGTTACCAGAGGGGGAATAATTAGAGCGAAACATATTTGTTCATTTTATGGGGGAAAAATATTGGTATATTTGCATCGATTCAGTTTTACAACAGTAAGCTTATATCGGTAATTATTATTTTATCGGACACTAGAGAAGGATACAAGTAGGATAAACTGTAAGGAGATAGGAGTTTACTATTTATCATTGCTGGATCGGAGAAGGTTTAAACGAAATTGAGCAGGTGATGCAACTGCTTTTTTTGCGGTGCATAAAGTCCAGCCCACGAGCCAATATATGCCCCTTCATCCAGTTCATTCTGCAACGTAAAATGAGAAACAAATTGATAAAAAAAACAAATCCATACGCCAAAGAAACTTACTTGTTCGACTGATACATAATTTAAAAGATTGTCTATAAATATTTTTCTAATTCCGTTAATCGAAGTCCTACAATAGTTCATTATTCAAATAGTAGAAGATACCTTGTTTAATTTAAAAAAACTAATGTTCCAATAGATGTAACATGTCGTAACGTACAATGGGGGCCATAAAAGAATACGCTTTGGAATATTTCTATTTTCGCGAACGGCCGTGGATCTAAGAGGCCCCGCAAACTAAACGGTCCGGTCTTATCTAATCTCAATATAATTACGAGTGCACGTCATAAAATTGCTTATTATACTATGGAAAAGTTGATTCGGGGACCATAATACGGGGTTTGGAAATTAACCTTACCTGTCTGCCTACCTACGCTGGTGATGATTATGTCTACTTATAGGTATAACTACTTATGTGCACCAAACTACCCGTCTACCGGCTCAAATAATCTTCGCGGTTCTTTCTCCCCTTTCCTCCACCCCACCCTTTGGCTAATCCTGCCCACCTGAGCCTCCTTCCAGCTACCCTTCGCTTTGTCCTCCACCCCGTTTTGGTTCTCTCCTTCTTCCCTGGTCAGCCGCGATCTCTCCGTTTCCATCCTCGCCTCGCCTTCCTCACTGGCGGGGGCTCGTCGAAACTAGTTTATAAAACGAGTCGGGCACACTGGTTCTTTCTGATCCAATGACCCCTGTGCCGTGTCCCGCAGCAATGCCCTGTAGTGACGAAGACTTGTTTATGTGTTACAGATTTGACGAGAGACACTACGCTTTCGAAAGGTATGCTAGATTTAATCCGAATGCATGCCAGTTTCGAGCTAAACGTTTCGTTTCCGCTTTTTCGTTCACGCACGGTTCTCGTCTCGTTCGTCAACGTGTTTCTATTCGTCGTACCAGCGACTACGGGATCACTCGTACGTACAGTAACAATTTTAACACGTTGACAGAGAAATATCGAGGCAAATGGTACATTCTTTCATTTACAATTTTTCTAACTTTCGTTCGATTTCATTTCGTTACCACTACGAGTCAATAGTGGTCCAAAGCATGTCGAGGATTTAATAAAATATTCTCCTCTTCCCCTTTTGCACGTTGACTTTACCTTTTATCAATTTTCACAGACTGTTTCACAAATCGGATTATTAGTCTGTAAAGAAAAGAAAGAAAATTTAATTTAAAGCAATCGAGGCTAGTTCATACACCGAATAAAGTCTTGACTCTTCAACAAATATAAAAGTAATAAAATCAACCTATTGCAAATTATTTCTGAAGTTTATTCGATGGACTAAATTTGCATTTGTTCGAAATGTTCAATTCCATAATTTTTGAAATCTGCATAACAATTTCGAACAGGCCGTTTCGAGTGAAACGAATCTTAAAAATGAGTATGAAATTTCTCTCGGCGAAGGTTGTTTTGCACTTTATTTTGGTAAGAAGCGATTGCTTTTTGGCTCGCGTTGAGATCATCGAGTCATGTTGCGAGACGTTTGACGCGATGAGATTAAAGGGGGGCTGGGCCCGGTTTAATAGGTTCGACGAAATTTTTAAGCAACCCGCAGCTGCCGCGGATTCACGAGCTTTTTAAGCGCGCGGGGCGCATTCGGAATAGCTCGAAAATGAGGAGTAAACGATGTTGGGTGTTTTTAAGGTGTCGAGGCGGTTTTTTGCACGGGTACAAATTGCTCGGGGAAGCACGTGTGTACGCAATATTTGATATCTTAACGAGTTTAGCGACAATCGCCCTTTCGCGGAGACGGTACGAAGTAATTGGATATTAAACATTTATATTACAAAACGCATTACACTTTATAAGCAAAGCTAGGTTTATCAAGATACCAATCCCTTTCTGTTGAATTTCAAAGACGACAGAAATTCATTTTGTTAAAGACCACGTGTCAATAATTTTTAAAAAATTTAGATATTGAATATTTTTATTTAATCATGGCGTTAACCACACGGATTTGTTTGTTTCTAACCCCTAAATTTGTTACTATTTTCTACAAAAAAAAAAAAAATGGAAGCGTGGTCGTTGAAAGATTAACAAAATGAGCTCGGTGCACGGTCTCGTGGTTTTTCTTAAAGAATTTATCCTCGAAGTTCATGTTGGTGGACGATGCCCTTAAATGCAACCGATCCCCGAGTTCTGTCGTCCCCGAAACCGCCCAGAAGGTCGAGGGAACTCCCGCGGTATTCGCGTAGAAACCCTGTAGACAGGGGAGCCCGAAAGTAATTATTGCGCTGCTCGACAATTAACTTTTTTTAGAGCAGAGCTCGCGCACCACGCGACCCTGCGCTACTCTATGATTTCGCGCAGCCTATATCAGAGAGATAATAACGTTCGAATATTCCCCCCTGGAACGGGGAACGGGGAACGGGCGCGCGAGGCAACGAAGGAAGGCGATGGCCGAGCGAATCCTTTTTTCCACCGTCGTCGAACACATCGGGCCCGATTAGCCGGATAAATCGCCACGATAACCTAATAATGATTCTATTAACAATGTAAATGGGACTAAACTGCGACCGCGTCGCGGCCGCGAGACGTAATCGCGCGGATAATAATCCCCATTACCGAAACTTCTCGCCTCGGCGCGCTTTATCCGCTCGACGCCTGCAACACGTAGCTCCGTCTGCATCGCTCATAATATAACGCATAATACTTCCTATGAATCTCCATAATGGCCGGTTCAAAGGAGCACTCGGGGACCGGCGATCCTTCACGTGGGCTTATGCGACCGACGCCATCGCTCTGTGTTTCATGGCTGCACTTCCGGTACCAGGCGAATAATTCAATGGTTCGTCGATAGAGTCTATCCCATATAAATTGCTTTATAATCTGGCTCGAGTCTGAAAATCGAGTTGATTTTTATATATTTTTTTTAATAGTCTGATCGAACTTAATGTGAGCGTTGCAATTTTTACTGGTTTAATATTTTTAGCACGATATAAACGAGGTTATTGTAACTTCAAAATCTTTGTAAAGTAGTAAAAGAGGCAAAGAAAAATCAATTTCTATGGTTTAATAAGCGTTTCAGGGCAAACGTTGAACTATAGATTGATACAACGTTGCGATATTACGATTTCTGCATTCCTCTTTCGAACGTTAAAGAGAAACAAAGAGATCTGACCGACAAATAAATTTCCATAATGAGCGTTCGCGTTCGCAACAGCGATTTTACCGAGCACGGTCGGGTCAATTATCGTATAAATATTATCCGTCCTTGTAACGCGATTATGTAAAAATTCTAAGTGCAGAGCGGAATTGCAAAGCAGCGCCGAGAGGGCCCCGTCGACTGCGATTTTAAGTTGTGGGATATGTTTACTGTCGTTGTATTATAATGCGACCAAACGAGCGCTTTTGTTTCCCGAAGGACCGCTTGGACCCCTCGTTCGTCTTCCGTGGGTCGCGAGATCATTTCGCCCCTAAATCTTGCTCCACCTCTTCCGAACCACTTCTGGCCCCGTTGCATGTCTGATTTATTTAGTTTTTTGTTCGTATATTCAGGGGCAATCAAGCAAATATCGGTATAAAGGCACTTTCCCTCGATAGCCACGCGATTTCCATTTTCTAGTTCAAACTGAAAAAACTTGGGGTGAGAAATGTTCGACTCCGAAGATTTGTTATTTAATACACTTCTGTGTAGTGGATTGATATTTTAGAAAATTGGATGCTTCTTCAATAGTGAGTTATGAGGGATCTTTGATCAAGAATTAAAATAAAAATTCATTGATATATCCTAGATTAACCCCTTAACGCTCATATTTTTCGGGTTAACCAAGAATAATCAGTTTTCTTTATTGGATTTGTTTCTAAAAATGCGGTTTTTGTTAATTACAAATATTATCATCCCTCAAACCATTAGGTTAAATAAATATCGTTTTTCAAAGCAGTCAGACTCGGGCATGAACGTTAAGGGGTTAAGAAACGCGAATATTATTGCACGAATATATCGAAATTTTGTATAATAAAATTTGCTCGGCTCGGCAACTCTCGCAAGTATGATTACTCATTTTAGAATCAATATTTCGGAACGTTAGAGCGAATTGGAAAGAGAGGAAGATGAACGGAGGTGTGTACCTCCTTTGAGAGGTTGGAAAAGTCCCACCGGTTAACGGGAGAGCGACGTTAAATCGAATATTGCTCCTTTAACGGCGTCAAATCGAGTACGGTTCGTTGCATAAGTATAGACACGAAGCATCTGCTTTCTTATTAAAGCGGAAAGTAGGAATGCAACTTACGGAGCATCGGAGGGTATAGGGTTCAACGTTCGATTCAGCTCGGCACAATTCCACCAATCCCTACGAGCGTCTTAAAAGGCATTTTAAATCGGCGTGTCGTGAAAGAATCTCATAGAGATGCGGCGTATAAAGGCATTCCACCAACCCCCTCCTCCTCCTCCCGTCTTTCAGCGTTTAGATCTATCATCGCCTCGGGGACTTTCCTTCGGTTCATTCGTTTCCTGTTATTACGTCCGCGCACTTTCTTCTTCATTACGCGCTCCAGACGCGAGACAATCCATGTTTCCATACGATTGGAAATAATTCGTACCTACTCGAGTTTCAACAATTTTCGTGATCTTAAACCCTTGTAAACTCGACTGATTCTCGTGAGGGAAAAATAACGTCATTTTCTAATAAATCAATCAGGTTTTTTTTAACTTCTTGCCATACAATGACGAGTCTGACTCGGTACAAGCTCTTGATGACACGTTTCACAATCTTGAGGCTACTTTCATCCATTAAAATCAACATATTTTTACATTCACGAGGTATTCGTAATACAAGTCTATTCTTTCTCTTATTTGGAATTAAATCGTACGTCAAGGGGTTAAATTCGAGGAATTTTCAGAAGAGCAATTCCATCCGCGGTAATTATTCATTTTGAAATGCTCTTTGTCGAGTTCCACGCGATTTGGTATGGAGTATCCGTGAGGCTGGTGGATGGTATTTGTAAATAATATTCCGACGGAAGGCTAGGATAATGGACCCCGTGAGGTTGAAGGTTGACAGAGGGGTGAAAATGGCTACAGGCTATGAACACTCTCCGCCACCGCAAGCACGAGATTCGATAAGCCGACTATGGTCTTTTATTAGGATCCACTCAACGCCGGCAACGTAAACTCCGCACCCTGTTAGAGCACTCTTTTTAGAAAGAATCCCGCTAACTATATTTCCATGTTCCAAATTGCGCGCGGAAAGGCGTGATTATAAGAGAACGAGAGAGGAGGAAACACGAATTTCTGTATTACATCCTTGACTTGATCGAGGCAATCACCCCGAATAAGGATTTGTTAGGTAGAAAAATGCAATCTCACAATGCGGTTAGGACGGATTATATCGTGCAATTACGATTTCACACGGGTAGAAGGAACGTTGAAATAATTACACGCGTTACTTGTGTCGTAGGTTCGACGCTGGTTTTTCGTAATAAGCAATTTTACATATTGCCTTAAAAATAGAATAGAATAATTGTTGATCGTTCCATACCAGATTCAGAATTTTTCAAAGGTTGCAAAAAAAAATTTTGCGCTTAAAAATGTACCGTTAAGGGGTTGAAATATTTATTTATATTTGTTTCCCGTGCACATCTGCGAGCGTTAATAATAGATCGGAGGCACACATTCGGTTATCCCCCGTCGGAGTCAGCGCGCTGCTCATTTATTCCATAAATCTGACAATAAATAACGGACATATTGGGGCGTTCGTGCGTCCCGGATATCGTGGCTGCTTATCGTATCCCACAAATGCGCCGGAACGCATTTAAAATGTATTGAACTGTCACG